TCGCGCTCTGAGTCGAACAGGGTTCTGATATGTCGCATACACATCTTCTGTGGATGAGTTTTCTTCTCTAGGTGTTGCTGCCACCTGTTGGTGTGGGGACCCTGGACTTCCTGCCCCGGTGGTGATTCTCAGCCCGTTTCCAGGAGGCTGAGGCAGGAGCCGTCTGTCAGGGTGGGTCGGAGCCTGCTCCCCATCCTGTGATGCCAGGAGGCCCCAGATGAAATCGCGAGGGCTTCTCAGGACTCAGCTGCTGTTCTCAGGTCTCCCAGGAGAGGGAGCTCACAGGCCCCGCCTCGGGATCCCGCTTCCGGCGGCTCCTGGGCTTGGGGGTGGACTAGCTCTTCGGCATCCGCGGGTGAAAGGGGCAGGGATTCCAGGGGCTCCCGCCGCACGGTTCCTGGGACCCACTCCAGCTGGCAGGGAAATGATGGCCTCGGTCTGCGTGTGCAGGGACCGCCCCGCCACTGCAGCCGTCGCCTTCCCGTGTGACTGCTAGGAAAAAGGGCCGGAAATCACTTTTACAGGGTGGCTTAACTGTCTGGGAAATACGGACTGAGAATTCGTGGAAAGTAAAAGCAATGACCGCACAGTGACTGATATCACCATAGAAATCCTTGGAGTCATGAAAGGGTTTTCTATCCAAGTCATCTAATATGCCTGGCTCACTGAAACATTTTGAGACTCCTCTTCCACCACCGTTCAGATTAGGCGCTTTCTTGCCAGTTATGCAAAGTATGAATTCCTTTCCCCCTTACATTTTCTTCCTCTAAAAGGTTTGTGATCAACATTCCAGGCTGCTGTGCAAAATGCGCGCACAATTTCCACATCAGAAATAAGCGAACTGTATTGGATTAAGTCTGTGAGTGACCAGTGAGGACTCACTTTGCCCCAGTTATCAGAACTATGCGTGAAACAAGCTGGGCACAGGGCTGTGGACCTGCGGTCCCAGGACTCCTTGGCTGAGGCAGGAGGATTGCAAGTTTTCGCCCCGCCTGGACCATTCAGCCACTTAGTGAGACCCTATGTCAAAATTTTTAGAAGACATTTTTTAATAAAGGAGGAAAGGAATGTGTTTCAGTGCACAGAACTTTGAGTCCATTTCCAGGACCCAAGCAAACAAATAACCATCCTCAACACAAAAGAAAAACCAGGACCATAAACCGCCAAAGAACCCTGAAATGCATGGTCGTGGCTCCCTCTGGCGGCCCTCACTGAACACTGCAGGCTTCAACCTGTTGCAGGACCCAGCTCACCCAAACTCACTGGCAGACAGAATGGCCCAGGGCGCATTTGTGAAGCGATAAATCCCGGAGGAAGCTGATTTAGATTCCTTCACCCGTGCACTGAAGAGGTCGCTGAAACTGTTTCACCTCCCCAACACGAGCACACCCACCTCTCAGAGCCGAGCCCTCCCTGCCTCCTCCGCTCCTCGCCAGCTCTGCGCATGGGCCGCAGGGGAGCTCAGACGCGTCACGCCTGCCTCGGGCCCTAAATCTCCCCAATGCACCGAGGACGCTCAGTCCAGCCACCCAGGCCGCCCTCCAGCTCCGGAAGGTCCCGGGGTTTGCAGGCGCCTTAGGGCCTCTGCGCCAGCTCTGCTTTCTTCCCCACCCCTCACTTCCCAACCGCCTCGCCATCTTGGCTCTTAGTCCTGGCTTGAAGAGCTGTGTGGGTTCCTGCGTCTACCTGTGGACTTTCGCTTCCTGGTCTTCCTTTGCACAGCTCTAGATGTTCTATCTTAATGGTTCTCTCGGGTTCCCCCGTTAGAAGGTAAGGCGTGGGTCTGCCGTTTTGACCCTTAGATGTCCAGCCCCGGAGAGCTGGTGCTGTTAGAGCTTTCTTGGTTGGGTAAATGACTAGCTGGAGTTTACTGTTACAAAATTAACAGGTACCAGGACCTTACTAAGTGACAATCCGTTTCTCTTTCTAGGAACACGATTGTGCGCTGAGTTCTGGATTCTAGTACCAATTATGAGTGACTATGCATGTTGTGCTATTTGTCAAGAGGTTTAAATAACCAGGAAAAGACGTGGTGTTTCTCAGCACCCCGCTGGCCGGCTGGCCCGGCCCGGGACCAGGTGTGGAGAGAGATTCCCGCACGCGGGAGCTATCTGAAGAAATGTGCACGGCCAGAGTAGCGAGTGTGAGGCACACACAAAATTATCTGAGAACAGTAATAGAAGGTAAGGCTGCCATTTTAGAGGAAACAATGATATCCCTTTCAGTAATTTTTTCTTTAGAAAATGTTGCAAAAAACCATTCAAGTAAAAAACATGCATTCCAACGGCAGGAAATGATATTGAAGAATCGTGATAAGCAGTTATTTCAGATTCATCTCCTTATTTTCTATTTTGTGGCATTTGTGGCTTACAGGACCATTTCAGATTTATAATTTGACCCAATTCTCTTTGAATTCAATTTCTTTCTTTTTGATTTTTTTGGTACCAGGGATCAAACTTGGGTCCTTGTGCTTGGCGAGGCAGGTGGCGGAACAACTGAGCTAAATCCCGAGCCCTGCATTCGATTTCTAACTCTGCTTGATTTTGTATTTTTTCTTCAAAGATTCCCCAATATCGAGTTTCTGAGGCACCCTGAAGATTGAATCTTCCTTGGTGCTTGGTTAAAATGTTACAGGACACAAAACCTTTTCAACAGGATTTATTGGAAATTTATTTTTTGTTTCCAATTTTCATGGCGATTTAAAGGAGGGTTTTTTTTGTTGTTGCTTTTTTGTTTGTTTGTTTGTTTTGTACCAGGAATTGAATTCGGGTCTTTGTGCTTGCAAGGCAGGCCACTGAACCGCTGAGCTAAATCCCCGGCCCCATGAAGGTGTTTCTTTTTAATGCTGCAAAGTGTCAATGCTAGGAGAGCTAGATTAGCATTCTTAATTAAAAACCTGTTATAGCACCTGCCTGGCAAGCACGGGGTCCTGAGTCCGATCCTTGGTACCAAAAGAAGTAAAAATAAATAAATAAATAAATAAATAAAAGCAAGTTATATTTCTCTGAATGGAATAAATATGCGGAATATAAGCTTTGAGGTCTTAAATTTTAGTGTACAGTAGAGATTTGTCTCTAAGTCTCCTAACAACCGTCAACACAACGAAGACAACCAAAGCACAGAAACAAGAATGGGGTGGTGGATTTGTGCTCCAAAGGAGAGCACGGATTACATTGATTTCTGGGTCTCAGTTTCATGCCCGACTCTGGCAGCTGGTGAAGAGGAGGAGGAGCATCAGGGAGCGGGCAGCAGCGTCAACTGGATTCTCAGGGAGACACTGCGAAGTGCGTTTCCAAAGTTTTTGGCTGGTATGTTCCAACGCAGGCTGACAGCAACTTGGCCAAGCAGAATTTGGGAAAAAGGAGCTTTAACAAAAATAATAGAACCCCGAGAACATCTTCACAGTTCTGGGTTGCTTATGGTAGTGCTAAAGCACAGGAGAGAGATCAGGTGCACACTGATAGTTTGTTTCCTTTCCTTGCCTTGCCTTGACTATCCTCCTCCTCCTCTTCCTCCTGCTCTCCCTCTCCCTCTCCCTCTCTCTCTCTCCCTCTCCCTCTCTACCCCCACCTCTTTCTTTCTTGCATAGAAGGACATGAATAGCAGCTCATTCCCAATTTCCAATACCCAGTTCCGCGGCTCTATGTGGATGCCCCACGTGTCTTAATGGCTTCATGAACCTTCATGAACTGATCAGGGTCTGGTTTCTTCCAGATAAAGACAAAGACCTCGATGAAGACATTTACCTGGCTGTGAAATCTGCCATCACTAGTCACAGATGAGGACACAGGACACGGGCACGGCTATGGCTCCTCAGGCAAAGTTCACAGGAAACTAAGAGCAGATAGCCCAACTCTTGCCTTTATAATTTCATGCACTCTTTTAATCAACAGAAATATATTATTCTGTCCTGAAAATATTACTATGATGACATGTATAAATAATTTTGCTGGCCCTTGTTTCCCTAAGGGAAACCACTACTGGTGATAACTATTCCTGATTAGATTTCTGGCAAATCTTATTTTCTCAAACATAAAATGTCTTAGTCTTTTAAAAGCAGGTATGAAGAAGCTCCTTTCTCTCAAGTTATCTGGGGTAGCTTGGTCAGCTTCTTAGCTAATAACAATTTACAAGAAAGCTCTGCCCAATATTAATTATTTCCTAATTTTTCTATTATCATGTGACGTTTGCATTGGTTCAGAAATACTATCTTATAGATAAATACAAGCCAGAAATGATTATGTCCCATTCCTTCTTTTCTTCTTTTCTGTCTTTAACACGAATTGAGTGTGTTCTATACCGTCTAAACTTGAAGCTGTCATGCCTGTCACATAAGGTCGGATACTTAGCTTTTCTGTATGTTCATTTCTTCCTCTGCAAAATGGAGATTCAGCACTGATTATTTCTTGCGGTTGCAATGAGCATGAAGAACTCTCTCTGCAAATACCTTGGGCACTGTTTGCTTGGCGCCTGGGCCGTTATTGTGACTTTCCGTGCTAAGGGCTGCAGAGGACACTGTGATGCAGAGAGTCATTGCCAGTGTTCCGCCTGGCTTTGGCAGCCACAAGAGTGAGCCCTGCTCTCAGGCTCCAGGGAGCGTGAGAGATTGGCACTCCCTCTGCCCTGCTACAGAATCCATCAGAGTTTTGTGCAGAGGCCTCTGGCTGCTCACGGCCACTGAAAAGAGCAGGGATAACCACGAAGAACAAGTTCTGGGGACAGAGGACTCTTGTGACAGGGACACTTAAGGACAATTGAGTGGTTATGGCCTCTAGGGTAGAGAGTGGGAGAGATTACAAAGAGGAAAATCTTACGCTGATATTCTGCATTCCGGCTTCAGAGCTGTACACACACGATAAGAATATGTAGAACTTTGCACTCAGGCTGCGTGCAGGCCACTGTCTTGCTTTTGATATTTTTTACTGTGGCTGTGTAAGAGTTGAAACCCGGGAACGCTGATCATCAAAAATGACTGTGCAAGAATCTGGAAAGCTCTGCCCCGTAGAAGCAGAGAGAGAAACCTGGAATACATCGTCAGAATCAATTTTGGCAATCGACTCTGGCCGTGAATCAAAGGATTTAGTGCAACTCAAGGAGTGTTTATCCCAGAAGAGTGGCCGAGTCTCATTAGATCAGCACACTTGGGGGATTGGATTTGCTGCACTCTCTTCACGTTCTTTGTCACTCTGTGGCCCATAACCACAGGGACATCAACGGCTGCTGGAGGAGAAGAGCACAGCAGAGCCCCTGCAGAGGCCCCTCCCCGGGCAGTGCCACGGGGCCGCCTGGCTGAGGGCTCTGCAAAGACCCCGCTTCCAAGGCGGCCATGAGTTTGCTGGACTTAGGATTCATGCATTGCAAAAAGATGGACGGTGATGAGCATCTTTCCATGTGGTTAGTCGCTCTTCCTTGTTTTTTTTTGGTCAAGTTCTTGTTCTAGTAACTTAGTTGGATTGTTTGTCATTTTGGTTGTGATTGTAGGAATTCTATATCTATTCTGGAGATAAAATCATTTTCAGATATAGATTTGCAATGTTCTTTAGCCTTAGATGATCTTTTCACAGAAGGACTTGGAAGCAGCAATTCAGAGAGGTCCCAGTCTGTGAAGCGTCTCTCTGTATCTATCATCTGTGTTCACATATGTTATTCTTACTGTCATCACTGTGGTCAGGTGACACCCCTGACTTCAGGGAATCGTGGCACATCTCTGATTTCTGTGTTTCCAGACATGGTGCTTCATTAGCAGAGATGAAAACTATGATGGAAAAGACTCAGAGACTCCGAGGCTGAGGCAGCGATATTCTTTCCCTGGATTACTGTGTTGGCCGCCAGTTCTTCCTGCTTTTCCCTGCCCTCTCCCAGCTTCAGTCTACCACAAGCAGCCCATTGCTTCCTTGCAGGGCACAGGACATGTGTGAGAACTGAGGCAGGAAGATCGGAAGGTGAAGATGCTCACAGGACAACTCGTGCTGGAAACAGGTGCAGGTGAGCAACCCTAGGACACAGTGTGGACACACACACAGGCAGACACTCACACACATGAGTCAGTATGGGTTTGGGTTCCTTCAAAAGAAGACTCTCAGACAAAATTTCAAATGCGTGTAGTTTGCTTAGGAGATGTGGAGATACCCACTGAGAAGTAAAGGCGTGACACAGGAGGGACCGTGCAAGGAGTGCATGGACCAGAGAGTCACCACTGTGCAGACAGCAGAAGCGGCAGAGAGACGACAGAGAGGCACATGAGGAGGTGTGACTTCCCTACATAAGTGCGGAGAAGGACCCACAAATGTTGGATGGCTTGGGACCCAGTTTTGAGTGTCTTCTGCATACTGGCTAATGAATCCATGCTGTGTTTCACTGGTGTATAATCCACTGAAATGCAAACTCACTGTCTCAGAATAAGTACATCCGATGTCTGGACTTGTCGAAGTGTCATCTCCATTATTAACAGCTACCTTGAGGACCACTGGCTCGGTGCCGCATAAATGAGGGTCGAAAGTAGGGTGTGATTCATGACTATTGTGTACAGTACTCCCTCACACACACACTAGGTTCCATAAATATAGAAAACCCAATCTTAAATATATCACAGTACAATATGTGCTGTGTTGAATCGTGCCAATTTATATTCTCAATAACCTCACCAAGACCCCAAGAGCTACTCTAGTATCACAATTTTTTTCAATATGGTAGCGGCTTCATTCCTCACATCCTTTAAGATCCATAATACTCATTCCCAGGAAGATTAGGAAAAGTCTTCAAGTCGTCCACGTCTGGGTAAATCCTCCAGTCTAGGAGAATGTGGTGCTCTTACCAGGTGCTCTAAAGCACACTTTCAGTAATAAATCAGGAGTCCCAGTCTGTGTTACTGGGTACGCTTGGAAACGAAAGGGAATCTGGGAGTTGCTGCTGGAATAGAGGGGCTACAAGTCATTCCTGAAACCATAGGGAATGGGTACTGGGCTGGGAAAAGTGAGATATACTACAAAAATATCATAGAAGAAAAATTTTCCTAGAATCAAGCTCAGTGTATGCCCCAGTTTATACTTGATCACATAATGGAATTTATGTATTCACGAAATCTATCTTTTGTTTATAATGATATTTTACTGTGTATGTTTTAGATCGGGAAATGGTGGCAGGTCTTAAAAGATTCTCCAGCACCCTCTGCAGTAGAACTTTCTAGAATGTTCATGAAATACTGAAGAATACAAAGAATCAGGAAAGACGTTCATGTCAAGAACCAAGACTTTGGTGTTGGACGTACCTCTTGAGAGTGACAGGAAGGCCTAAAGGAAGAAAGAAATTGTGGACAGAAGAAAGAACAAGAGGGACAGCACGGAAGAACAAAGAGGAAGAACTTCCCTACAGTGGGACCATGCTACAATCTCAGGGTAAGAGATGAAGGATCCATGTGGATTAAGAAGACTGCTTAGAGGCAAATGTTGACTGCCCTACGTATATTCAATGTGTACTTTAGATTATTAACAATGTGATCCCCTCAAATCTACTGAGTGGGTGGTAGGAAAATTCAGACATCTGGGCAATCAAAATAGTTTCCAAGTATCAATTGTAACAAAGTATCCTACGATAGGACTCAGCCACGCTAGACTCCAGGCAGAGCCTGGGCAAGTCTACCCGAATCATTCAGTTGCCTCTGAGCTCTTTTTGTGATAGCAAATAGCTTTTCACCTCTCAATCTCAACTATTGTCATTGAAATGCCGTTCATTTCAGCTCAGCAAAAAATAATGCTAAGAAAAAAAAAATCTGTTACTTGGTGAAATGGAAAGATGTTAACTTTGGGTGTGGAAGGCTTCCTCGCTGAAATTGCTCCAGGCCCAGAATTTAGCCAGGAGAGTGAAGGGCTGCAGTGCTACATGCGTGGAAGTCACTAGAGGGCAGCGTGTCTTGTGCTGTGACCCTGCCACAGCTCTGCTTTCATCCAAGGGAGACCCTGTGGCAGAAGGGAGCCGGGCACAGGTCAGCGAGCCACCGCTGTGAGAGGAGAGCCAGCCCAGCAAGAGCCAGAGACAGATGTCACCGGCACCGCTCGAAGGCCGTGCTGGCCGGTTGTACCCATGGAAACCCTAACTCCATCTGAAAGGGCGAAGGTTGTCATTTCTGTGGCGACACCAGAGGAAGAAGGGCATGGGAGTGGGTTGACAGGTTCTACCTTCATGTGGGGGAGGTGGGGGATTTTTAAACTTTCCTAACAGAAGCAGAGCAGGGCAGGGTGGTCCTGCCTCGGTGGAAAGTGCTGGCCTCCGAGCTGCTGGGACAGGGCTTCCTCGGAGCTCCTGCGGGAGCCAAGAAGGACCCGCTCCCTGCTGGAGCACACGCTGCCCACCCTCACGCAGGCTGCAATCAGGCAACCTCGCCTCAGATTGGGCCTGATGGGTTTGGGAAAGAACCAAAAGTCGCACGAATGTCAGTTCTGTGAAGCAAATGCAGACTGGAGAAGGGTCACTGATGACGGCCACCCCAGACTCGCCTGCCGAGAGTGAGTGGAGAGGCAGGTCTGGGTTCCACCCCAGTGCTCCTAGTCCGATTTTCTGAGGTTGGTCCGGGCATCTGTATCCACTTTACAGCAGCCTGGGGTGATTTTTCTTTCTTTCCTTCCTTCCTTCTTTTTGCAGGTGTAATGATATTTGAGGCCAAAAACCAGGGTGTCCATTGGGACACTCGCATTTCACCTGCATTGGCCCTTCCACTGGGCCTGGATCCACAGGGCAGCTAGGAGTCACCGGTGTCCTCACCTGCAGACACACGTTTTTATACAAATCCCCATGTTCTCATGAAAGGCAAGCAAGGTTCTTGCACTAACAGTGTCTTTTACAAAGCAGGAAAGGCCTCCCCTGTGTGCAGTGCCTGTATTTGGTCAGAAACTCCGGTGAGCATTGTGGTATACTAATTCAATTTCAATCTCCCCGCAAACCAGCGAGGAAGATGTTGCTATTTTCTTTTGCAAATTAAAACAAATACAGGCTCAGAAAGGTTACGTGATCCACCCAAATTTGCATATTATAGAAAGCAACCAAACTGGGCACAGTGGCACAGGCCTACAATCCCAGCACTCAGGGATCTGAGGCAGGAAGAGATCTGCAAGACTGAGGTTAGCACGGGTTACACAGTGAGTTCAAGGACAGTCTGTACCACATAGCAAGGCACTGTCTCAAAAGAGAAGAAGAAAATAAACAAATGAATCAGAATTAAAACAAGGTCTATTGAAGTCTAAAATTCTTTTGCTAATAAGGACAGAAGGGATGCACTCGTACATTAATTCTTTCATGATGTCTTAGTCTTCAGTTGTTAAGCAGTCTGTCAGAAGCTCCCCATAGCAAAACAGCATGAAATCTACCACGCTAGAACATTAACCCTATATCCCGAGGTCTGATTTGCAGGCTAACACAGACAAGAATTGTAATTCTTTTTTAAAAATTAATTTTATCGGTACATTTAATGTATACAGTATAGTGACATTCACTGTTGGAAATTTGTACCTTCACATTATCAATCTTAGTTCTCATTTTTCCCATTCCCCTGGCCTCCCTTTGGAGAAAAACATTAATTCCTTCCTCAATCCCAAAAGGAAGTATGTGCGTGTGTGTGTGTGTGTGTGTGTGTGTGTGTGTTGCTTTCTATTGTTTTCCTTTAGAGGGAAAATTAATTTTTAATGGGCTTGACTGGTTTACAGATATGTTTGTACAATTTTATAAACTATGTGCCTTAGCATTTGAAGCCTGAAGAAGGTCAAGCTTTTTACCTCTACCAAGAATAAAATGCATAAAGATCCGGGGTGCATGATTGTAGAATCCCTTTCAGGTTTCTCTAAAGAATCACATTTCACTCTGGTGAATGTGTGATCACAAAATGCCTTGACACAAAAGTGAAATATGTCTTTATTTTCACCTCTTTTAGTAGATTTGGCCATTCTTATTAAATTAAAAAAATATTTTGGGGTAAAGAGCATTTTGTTTTGGCGGCGCGTGTGTGAAGACGTCACCTCAGCAAGCCAATCCAGATGCTCACTTCTTTTCTACATTCACCAGTGCCAGACAGATGTGAATAAAGCAAGAAACGCACACACAGAACTAAGGCCAGAGGATTTACAACAAATTCCTCTGAAACTCACGATAATATCAACAGGAATACAGACACATTATAACCTTTTCGAGTGGACTTTTTTGCCTTAATTACAAAACTGTACTTTCTAAAGGCTGAGCCCAAATTTCCAAGTTTCCTCTTTGCTACTCTTTTTCCTACCTTTTTTCTGCTGCTAAACTGCTAACCACGGCTCCATACGTTTTGTGTTTTCTTTCTTGTCTGCACACATAACTCAGCAGGTGAGGAAGTGCAGACAAATAACAGGGGAAGTAGATAGCGCCAGAAAATCTTCTGAGAGTTTAAAAGTTGTGTATTTGCGAAGGGCCTCTGTTGACTTTCACACACCAAGGCATGCCTTTGCCTACAGAAAAAAAAAAAAAAAAAAAAAAAAAA